CCTGGGCACCCCTGCCCACAATCCAGGCAATTTTTCTGCTCCACAGGAAGGAATCCTGCCCTGGATCTCAGCCTGGCTGATGAAAACCAAGGAAATCCGGGAAAATGAGGCACCCCCAAGGCCAGCCCAGCATTCCCAGGCATTCCCAGAGCTCTCCCCTGCATTTCTCTGTGATAAGCACAGGAATCTGGGAATGTGGGGGCTGGGATGGGCCCAAATGTCCTGTGGGATGTGCACTGGGAATTCTTCACCTGCACTGGGAATTCTTCACCTGCACTGGGAATTCTTTTCCTGCACTGGGAATTCTTTTCCTGCACTGGGAATTCTTTCCCCTTTTCCCTGCCCAGGGAATTCTCTCCCAGTTTCCCTGCCCAGGGAATTCTCTCCCAGATTTCCTGCCCAGGGAATTCTCTCCCAGATTTCCTGCCCAGGGAATTCTCTCCCTTTTCCCTGCCCAGGGAATTCTCTCCCAGATTCCCTGCCCAGGGAATTCTCTCCCAGATTTCCTGTACCTGTCTTGGAGAAGATGAGCTGCAGGATCAGGGGCCGGCGAGTGACGATCCCAGAGCCACGGGGGAGGAAATCCCTGCCGGGGATGGAAACACGGGTCAATAAATTAATCAATAATTAATTACATGAATGAATGCCATCGATTTCTGCACAGTCCTGGCCACTGGAAGGCTGGAAAAAGCTTGGGAACACACAGGGGACAGAACAGGACATTCCTGGGTGTGCAAAATCAGGAAATTCCCACAGGATTCCTCCTGGCCTCAGCACCCACAGCTTTTTTTTTTTTTTTTTTTTTTTTTTTTTTTTTTTTTTTTTTTTTTGGGGGGGGGGGGTGGAATTTGGGGGATTTTGGGGGTTTGGGACGGGGCTGTCCCCACCCCTTTCCCGAGCAGGAACAGGACAGGGAAGGACGTGCTGGGAATTGGGAGTGACAAGAAGCTCCAGAGGCATTTCCAGCCTGTTTGAATTCAGGATTTAATTCCCGGCTGGGCATCGCCCTTGGGAGCGGCTCCGACGAGAACTGGACGTCAAAACCACCCCAAAAACGTCACGGCGCCGGTGTCACCCTGCCCGTGTCACCCCTTCCCAGCAAAGCCTGAGCCCTGTCCCGGAACGAGGGTGACAACCCCGGAAAAGCAAATCCTGCCCGACCGGGAGGGCAGGTCCGGCAGGAGGAGCCAAACCGGGACGGGGAAAAGGTGGAAAAAAAAACAAAAAAACCCAAAAAAAACCTCGGGGAGGGTCCGGGAGGGAGTCCCGGCCCTGCTGGGATGGGTGGGAATGGGGGGATTCCTGCACTGGGGGGATCACTGAGCCTTTATCCCACGGAAATGAGGGGATCTCCCATCCCTGATCCCATGGAATTGAGGGGATCTCCCATCCCTGATCCCATGGAATTGAGGGGATCTTCCATTCCTGACCCCCTGGAATTGAGGGGATCTCCTTTATCCCATCCCTGGCCCCCTGGAATTGAGGGGATCTCCCATCCCTGATCCCATGGAATTGAGGGGATCTTCCATTCCTGACCCCCTGGAATTGAGGGAATTTCCTTTATCCCATCCCTGACCCCTGGAATTGAGGGAATTTCCTTTATCCCATCCCTGGCCCCCTGGAATTGAGGGGATCCCCCCGTTCCGCGTGGGAGTCACGGATCCAGAGGGGAACCGGGGGAGTCCCGGTTTTCCTGCTGGAATTCCCGGGCATTCCCGGTCCCCGTGTCCCTGCCCAGGATCCTGCAGTGACGTCACCGCCCGGATCCCGCCGCCTCCCACCTGGACACAGGTGTGACAGGGACAAAGGGACACAGGGACAAAGGGCTCGGGGGGTGGGGGAAGTGCGGTGGGAACTTCCCAAATTCCAGCAAATCTGCGGGCAAACACCTGGGCGTGGAAACACCTGAGTGTGCAAACACTTGAGCATGGAAACACCTGAGCATGGAAACACCTGAGAGTGCAAACACTTGAGCGTGTCCCTGACAGATTCTGCCTGTCCTCATCTCGTCCCTGCCCCATTCCTGATTGTCCCTGCCCCATTCCTGCCTGTCCTCATCTCATCCCTGCCCCATTTCTGATTGTCCCTTCAGATTCCAGATTGTCCCTGCCAAATTTCTGATTGTCCCTGTCCCATTCCTGCCCGATTCCTGATTGTTCCTTCAGGTTCCTGATTGTCCCTGTCCCATCCCTGCCCCATTCCTGATTGTTCCTTCAGGTTCCTGATTGTCCCTGTCCCATTCCTGCCTGATTCCTGATTGTTCCTTCAGGTTCCTGATTGTCCCTGCCCCATTCCTGATTGTCCCTTCAGGTTTCTGATTGTCCCTGCCCCATTCCTGCCCCATTCCTGCCCGATCCCAGCCCGATCCCCCTCCAGCCCCAAGTTCTCCCCACCCGAGCCCATCCCTGGCCCCTTCTCACCCGAAATCCAGGGCAAAGCCAACCCGAGCTCTGTGGGCAGAGCCCGTCCTGGTGTCCCTGTGCCGTGTCCCCAAACAATTCCCTCCCCGTTCCCCACTGAATTCCCACCAAACCCCAATCCCAGCAGGGCAAACCCCACGGATTCACCCCCGACTGGCTCCCGTGAAACCCCGAATCCCCAAAAAATCCCCAAACCCGAGGGGCTCAGCACCTCTTTGGGAATTCAGGCTCAGGACTCCCAGCCTCCCCCAGGGCTCATAAAGCCCCATTGAGGTCGGGATCCCTCGGGATTGTCCCCACCCCCGGGGGACAACGGCTCCATTGTCCCCCCGGCCGGAGACAGCCCCGGGAATTGTCACAGCAGGGCCGGGACCCGGCTCCAAAGAATCCCAGGGACGATCCCAGCTCCTTCCCTTGGGGCTTCTCCCACTAAATCTGGGGACTGAGGCCCAAAATCCCACTGAATTCGGGGATTGAGGCCCAAAATCCCACTGAATTCGGGGACTGAGGCCCAAATTCCCACTGAATTCGGGGATTGAGGCCCCAAATCCCACTGAATTCGGGGATTGAGGCCCAAAATCCCACTGAATTCGGGGACTGAGGCCCAAAATCCCACTGAATTCGGGGATTGAGGCCCAAAATCCCACTGAATTCGGGGATTGAGGCCCCAAATCCCACTGAATTCGGGGATTGAGGCCCAAAATCCCACTGAATTCGGGGATTGAGGCACTCCAGGCCCCTCCCCACCGATCCCAGTCCCACTGTGGATGTACCAGGCCCTTCCCCACAGAGGAATTCCAGCCCAGTTTGGCTAATTCATGGATTCAGAGCATTCCCAGCACAATTCCAGGTCCCTCCGAGGAATTCTGGGCACCCTGGGATTCCCTTGCTGTGTGTTTTGAGGGTTAAAAACCCCACAGAAACGGGTCCAGGGCTTCCCAGAATGGATCCAGGGATTCTGATGGCTCGGGAAAAAAACTGAGCTAAAGGTCCAAGAGCTGCAAAAATCCCCCAACCCAACCCCGCCCTTCCACGGGCAGAAATCGATCCTGGCTCCACGGATCCGTGCAGATCGTTGGGACAATGGGAACAGCCCCGAGGCCCTGGAATTTGGGAATCCAGGGATAAAAAAAAAAAAAAAAAAAAAAAAAAGCCGGGAAGAATGCCGGAACTGCTCCCGAAATTTGGGGTGACAGCGGGTCAGCACTGCCCGGTGTCACATTCCTGAGGACACCGACAGGATCTGAGGCACAACGGACACCCCCCAATTAACCCTAATTAGCACAGGCCGCACAGCGGGGTGGGGGAGGATGCCCGGATGGACCTGAGACACAAAGGGGTTTCATTAGCAGGGGTGGTTTTCCAGCAGCGCCGTAATTAAAGGCTGCCAGAATTCCCGGGAATTCAGGATGGGGGGGGGGGAATAACTCCCAGTGTTCCCACCTGGAAAATCCCAAATCTTTCCCAAATCCAGGCTGGGAATGCGGCCTGCGCTGGGATAGAAGGGAAAGGTGATGGATCCCACCCTGGGCTCCGAGGAATTCCACGGGAGGGCAGAGAAAACCCCACTGGAGCTTCCAGCGGGGCAATTCCCACGGAGAAAGGGATGTCAAACCCAGCCTGAAACAGCTGGAAAAGAGCCTGGATGGGGTTTTTTTTTGGGGGTGGGGGTGGTTTGAAGGTTGAGGGGAGAGCGGGGATGGAAGCACACGAGGAGAAGGGAGAGAATTCTGCGGTTCAGGAAGTGACAGCCCCGGGTGGAGGGGACAGGAACCGGGGAGAGCCCAGGGAGGAGCAGAGATCCGTGGAATGGAAACGGAACGGGGACAGACAAAGGGGAAAGGCCGGACAATCGGCTCTGCTGGCACAACCAAAGCCCTCGGGGTTTTTTTTTTTTTTTGTATTTTTGTATTTTATTTTTTTTTTTGCGAGAATTCCTTTGCCTTGCCGGGACGCTCTGCTCTCTGCTCCCCGTTATCGGGGCCGGCCACGCTCGGCTCCCGGCCCTATCTCGGGGCACAACCCCACGGCGAGGAGGAGGAGAATAATGATGATGATGATGATGATGATGATGATGAAGGCGATGGGGAGGAAGGCGCAGCATTCCCGAGGAATCCCGGCACAACCCTCCTCCCGGACACCGTCCAGTGCCGCTACCCAGGGCACGAACGCGGCTCTCAGGACCGACACCCACAGAACCTCCCGGATTTTTTTTTTTTTTCCTTTTAAAGGGCGAGCGATCGCGGATTGACCGGCCTGACCCGAACCCTCCAGGCCGACTCCGTGCGCCCCGCCCCGTTCCCGGTGCCTCCGACCCCTCCCGTTCCGTGACGCGCTGGCCCGGCCCGGCCCCGCTCGGGTTATCCCGGCCCCGGTCCGGCCCCGCTCGGGCTCTCCCGGCCCGGTCCGGCACCGCTCGGGCTCTCCCGGACCCGCTCGGGCTCTCCCGGCCCGGTCCGGCCCCGCTCGGGCTCTCCCGGACCCGCTCGGGTTCTCCCGGCCCGGTCCGGCCCCGCTCGGGTTCTCCCGGCTCCGGCCCGGCCCCGCTCGGGCCCTTGCGCCGTTTGCGCAGCCCGGGCCCCGCTCCGCCGGCCGCGCCCTTTTCCGCCGCCGCTGTTCCCGAACGCGCTCTACGCTCCGCGGCTCCGCCCGCCGCTCCCACCCCACTCACCGGCCCACGAAGTTCTCGAGCACCGAGCTCTTGCCGGCGCTCTGCCCGCCCACCACGGCGATCTGCGGCAGGTCGAGGTGGCAGCTCTGCCCGATGGAGCTGAAGGCGTCTTGCAGCTTGTTGACCAGCGGGATGAGCTCCTCCATGCCCCGGTTGCCCATGGCGGCGCGGAGGTGCCGGGACCGCGCTCCCCGGCGGCGGCTCCTCCTCACGGGGCCCGCGGAGGCGGCGGCGGCCAAACTTCCCCTCAGAGTCTCCTCATCCGGCACCGCCGGGCCCGCCCCGCTCCCGCCGCGCTCGCCGCCATTGGCCGGCGGGGCTGCCCGTCACGGCAGCGCGCGGAGCGGAGAGGAGCGGGGCGCTGTCAATCATCACTGGGGGCGGCACCGGGAAGCCGAGCCCGCTTTCTATTGGTCGCTTGCCCGTCGCTCATCTCTCGCAGCCAATGGGAGGCGGCGCCGCTGTGTCAGCTGAGGCGGCGGTGAAGCTGTCCCGCCCCCAGCGGCGTTTCCGCCATTTCATTGGGGAACAGAACTTCCCCTCAGCAGCGCAGCGCAGTCGCTGTGCGGAGCCCGCCCTGCTCTCCCTCCCCGCCCCTTTACCAATACAACCCAGAAAGGAATCTTAGAGAAGAGAAAACCCTTTCGCAATGAACCAGCCGGACATCAATCACTAATTCCTTCTCGCCCATTGGCTGTCACGGTGTTTGCGCCCCTCCTGTGACCGTCGAGCGTCGTGTGTTCGCTCACGGGGCGCGACAGTTCCGAAGCGAAGCCCCGAGGCTGAAACCCCCCGGGAACCTCCTGGGGGCTCCTCAGGGACGAACAGCAGCACGAATATGCTCCGCTCCCTGCCCTGTCTGCGTTTAGAGGGGCCTCTGCTGAGTTTGGGCGATCTCTGGGGGTGTTTCGGGCGTCTCCAGGCTGGGGCGTTCCCCAACCCCACAAGGCCCAACATGGCCCCGGCGTTGCCCCGGTAACGGCCACTTCCGGCGGCGGCGCCACCACCTTTTCCGGTCACGTGCTCCCAAGATGGCAGCGCCCACGGCGGGTCCGGCGGCGCCGGTCCCGGTGCTGCGGATCGTGGCCGAGTGCAAGCGGAGCCGCGCCCGGGCCGGGGAGCTGCGGCTGCCGCACGGGAACGTGCCGTGCCCCGTGTTCATGCCCGTGGGCACCCGCGGCACCGCCAAGGGCCTGACGGCGGCGCAGCTCGCGGCTCTCGGCTGCCGCATCTGCCTCGGCAACACCTTCCACCTGGGCACGCGGCCGGTGAGCGGCGCCGGGGGGACCGGGGGGGGCTCCGCGCTTCCACCCCGACCTTCGCAATTCCCTGCGGGGAACCCCCAGCGCCTCCCCTGCCGCGCTCACTCGCGGCCGGGCGCTCCCTCAATTCCCACGTTCCCGGTGTAACCCCCGCCGTTCCCAGATTCCGTGAGCATTCCCGGGAAATCCCTCTCGGTTCCCGATTCCCGGTGTCATTCCCGAGCTCTGCCTTCTCCCCTCTCCGCAGGGTTCGGAGCTGGTCCGGCGTTCCGGGGGCCTCCACGGCTTCATGGATTGGCCGCACAACCTCCTGACGGTGAGGGGGGACCCCGGATTCGGGAGGGCGGCACCCCCAGGACTCCCCTAACTCAGGGGGCGGCACCCCCGGTGGGGAGGGGAGCCCCCAGGTGTGTCCCCCCAGGCCTCGGGGGGGGGGTCTCCTGTCACCCCCCAGTCCCAGGTGTCCCCGGGTTCCTGCCCCAACCCCAGCCCCTGTTTTGGGGTCCCCAGGACAGCGGGGGGTTCCAGATGGTTTCCCTGCTGGAGCTGTCGGAGGTGTCGGAGGAGGGGGTTCGCTTCCAGCCCCCCCACGGCGGGGAGCAGATCCTGCTGAGCCCCGAGAAATCCATGGAAATCCAGAACGCTCTGGGTGAGCTGGGGGGGAGCCGGGGCGCCCAAATCTTGGGGGGGGGGGGATGGGAAGGATTTGGGGGGACCCCCCTGACCCCCACCCCCCTCCCAGGGGCCGATATCGTGATGCAGTTGGACGATGTCGTGAGCAGCACCACGACGGGGCCGCGTGTGGAGGAGGCCATGCACAGGTGGGGACCCCCTGAGACCCCCCTGGAACCCCCCAGGACCCCCCTGAGACACTCCTGAACCTCCTGGAACCCCCAGGCCCCTACCAGGACCCCCCCCAGTTCACCCCTGAAACCCCCCTGACCCCCCAGGACCTTCCCTGGGACCTTCCCTGACCCCTCAGGATCCTCCTGAGACCCCTCTGGACTCCCCCTGGGACCCTCTAGGACACCTCTGGATCCCCCTGAACCGTTCTATGACCCTCCAGGACCCCCCCAGAGACCCCTCGAGACCCCCCAGACCCCTTTTCCCCCTCTCCAGACCTCTTTTCCCTCCCCCGAGACCCCCAAGGACCTTCCGAGACCCCTTTTCCCTCCCCCCAGGATCTCCCTGGACCCTTCTAGGACCCCCCCAGACCCCTCTAGGACCCCCCCAGGACCCCCCCAGACCCCCCGTTTCCCCCGCCCAGGTCGGTGCGCTGGCTCGATCGCTGCCTGGCCGCTCACGCCCGCCCGCAGCAGCAGCGGCTCTTCGCCATCGTGCAGGGGGGGCTGGACCTGGAGCTGCGCCTGCGCTGCATCCGAGGTGGGGCCTTCATCATCCTCATCATCTTCATCCTCGCCCCTGCGCCCGTGGGCCTTCGTCACCCTCCTCCTCCTCCTCCTCCTCCTCGCTCTCCTCCTCAGCCCCGCTTGGGAGGGGCTCTGGGGGTCCTGGGGGAGCTCAGGGAGTCCCCAGGGGTTCAGCGATGATTTTGGGGTCCAGGGGTGATTTGGGGAGCTCGGGGGGAGTCCAGGGGTGATTTTGGGGGGCTCAGGGGTGATCGGGGGGGGTCTCAGGGATGATTTGGTGTGTTCAGGGGTGATTTTGGGGGCTCCCCATCCCCAGTTTTCCAGCCATGACCCAGTGGGACGTGCCCAGTTCCTCAATGGGGCTCGGGAGGGGTTCGGGTGGCTCAGGGGGGTTCAGGGGTGTCTCTGGGGGGTCTGGGTGGTTCAGGGGTGATTTTGGGGGTCTCAGGGGTGATTTTGGGGGGTCTCCATCCCCGTTTTCCCAGCCATGACCCAGCGGGACGTGCCGGGTTTCGCCATCGGGGGCCTGAGCGGGGGCGAGGACAAGGCTCAGTTCTGGCGCACGGTGAAATTCAGCGCCGAGCACCTGCCCAGGGACAAACCCCGCTACCTGATGGGCGTGGGGTGAGTCTGGGGGCGTCCCCTCAGCCCCCCCCGGAGCCGCCTGAACTCGGGGAGACCCCCGGAGTGACCCCCAATCCCCTCCCCTTCCCCAGCTACGCCACGGACCTGGTGGTGTGCGTGGCGCTGGGCTGTGACATGTTCGACTGCGTGTTCCCCACCCGCACGGCGGTAAGGGGGGGCCCCTGGGGGGAGGCATTTTGGGGATCCCCGACCCCTCCCCAAGGTTTGGGACCCCCACCCTGACCCCTCCCACCCCTCGCAGCGTTTCGGTTCCGCCCTGGTGCCCTGGGGGTCCCTGCAGCTGAAAAATCAACGATTCGCCAAAGACTTCCGGCCCATCGACGCCGCCTGCGGCTGCCCCACGTGCCAGAGGTGGGCAAGGGGCGGTCGGGGGGGAGGATTTGGGGGTGTCCAAGGTGGGGCTGAACCCTCCCCCCTCCCCAGGTATTCCCGGGCCTACCTGCACGCGCTGCTCCGCTCCAACACGGCCGCGCTGCACCTGCTCACCCTGCACAACATCGCCTACCAGGTGAGCTGGGGGGCGTTTGGGGGGGGGTCCGGGGGGTCCCAGCACCCCTCTAATCCCCCAGGAACTCCCCCCCCTCCCCAGATGAAGCTGATGGGCTCCATCAGGGAGAGCATCCTGCAGCAGCGCTTCCCCGAGTTCGTGCAGGAGTTCATGGCCGCCATGTACGGGGGGCGTGGGGGACCCCCAGCCTGGGCACGGGAGGCTCTGGAGTCCGTGGGGATCCCCCTGGGCTGAGGGGACCCCCCCTGGATTCCTGGGGACCCCCCTGGATTCCTGGGGGACCCCCCTGGATTCCTGGGGAACCCCCCCTGGATTCCTGGGGGACCCCCCCAGTTCCCAAACCCCGCCCTTGTCCCCCTCATTGTGTATTTTTATACATTTTTTTGGCGGTTTGGGGTTTTTTTTACTCTTTCGGGGTTTTTTAAGGGGTGGGAAATAAAAGAGTTTGGAAGGGAAATGGCTCCCGTGGATCCAGGTGGGGCTGGGGACACATTTTGGGGACAGATTTGGGAATTTGGGAATGGGGGATGCCGGAGGTGTGGGGGAGGGAATTCCCGCAGGTGACATTCCCCGTTCCCACGGTGGCCTTTGTCCCTTTGTCCCACCGGGCTGGGGGTGGCAGGGACACCTGGCTGGCCGTGTCACCTCTGGGGCTCCGTGTCACCTGTCTGCAGTGGCCAAGGTGGCACCTGCGTGTCCATGGTGACACGTGTTTGGTGACACCTGTGTGGTGTCCCTGTCACCCCGCCGGTGGCTCCTGTGTGGCCGCAGGAGGAAGTTTGAGGAGGGTTGGGTGTGGCCCGGGGGCGTGGCCCGGGCCAGGTGTGGCACCTGCGTCACCTGTGCCCTCAAATTTCTGCCCCTGCCGGGCACGGCGGCCACAGAGCCACCACAGGCGGGGGACTGGGAGCACTGGGAAGGGCTGGGAGCTGTACCCGGAGTTAACTGGGAGTCACTGGGAGCCACTGTGAGTGACTGGGACACACTGGGAAGGGCTGGGACTGGCGCTTGGAGTTAGCTGGGAGCCACTGGGAATCACTGGGAGTGATTGGGAGCCACTGGGAAGGGCTGGGAGCAGCACCTGAAATGAACTGGGAGCCACCAAGTGCAACTGGGATGCACTGGGAACCACTGGGAAGAGCTGGTAGCATCACCCATGGTTAACTGGGAGCTACTGGGAAGAGCTGGGAGCCTCACCCAGGGTTAACTGAGAGCCACTGGGAATCACTGGGATGCACTGGGAGCCACTGGGAAGAGCAGTGAGTATCATCCAGGGTTAACTGGGAGCTACTGGGAAGAGCAGTGAGCATCATCCAGGCTTAACTGGGAGCCACTGGGACACACTGGGAAGGGCAGGGAGCAGCACCTGGGGTTAACTGGGAGCTGCTGGGACACACTGGGAGTTGCTGGGCTGGGAGCAGCACTCACGGTTAACTGGGAGCCACTGGGAAGGGCTGGGAGTTACTGGGAAGGGCTGGGAGCCACTGGGAAGGGCTGGGAGTTACTGGGAAGGGCTGGGAGTTACTGGGAAGGGCTGGGGGTTACTGGGAAGGGCTGGGGGTTACTGGGAAGGGCTGGGGTGAGGGGTTTCGCCGAGATGCTGTTCTTCATTCCCGGCAGCCGGGATTGGCCTTTGTCCCTTTGTCCGTTTGTCCGTTTGTCCCACCCTGCCCGCGGTGCAGGTGACACTGAGGGACTCTGACCCCCCCCGTGCTGGGGAGACTGGGAGGGACTGGAGCTGGCACCCAGAATGGACTGGGAGCCACGTGATGAACTGGGAAGGGTTGAAGGTGGCACCTGGGCAAAGACGGGTGAACTGGAGTGAACTGGGATGAACTGGGCAGAGCTGGACTCAGCCCCAGCAGCCTCAGGGCTCCCCTGAGACCCCCAAACTGGTCTGACTGGTGGAACTGGAGGGCCCCCGGCGGCGCCTCCCGCCCTTATCACGTCCGGAGCCTTATCAGGAGCCGGGATGGGGAGACCCAGGAATGGGGAGGGGGCAGGGACGGAGGGGGCAGGGGGGCTTTGGGCACCCAGGAAGCCCCAGGTGGGCGCTGGGCCGGGGGATCGGGGTGGGACTGGGGGGCTCAGTGGGATCGGGGGGCCAGAGTTTGGGCACCAGCAGGACTGGGATGCCCGGTCAATGGGATTCTGGTAGCGGTGGGTTCACGGTGCCAAACCCCCCCGGCGCCCCCCACCCAGTGCCAAGCCCACCCCCCCAAACCGCCCCTGTGCCACCCCACAGGTCACCCATGAAGTTCTCTCCGAGCTGCCGCCTGCTCCTGCTGCCGGTGGCCGCGGCTCTGGCCCTGCTGGCCCTGCAGTCCCAGCACTCGGTGCCCGCTCCCAGCGCCACCTCCGCGCCCCCCGTGCCCAGCCCCACCCCGCACGCCAACACCACGCTGGCCCCGCGGCCACCTCGGCCACCTCGGCACCCGCTGCAGCCTCCGTACCCGTACCCGTACCGCTTCCTGCTCAACCACCCCGACAAGTGCCAACCCCGGGCCCCGTTCCTGGTGCTGCTGGTGGTCACATCCCCGGCCGACCTGGCCGCCCGCGACGCCGTGCGCCGCACGTGGGGCAACGAGAGCGCCGTGGCCGGGCTCAGCGTGGTGCGGCTCTTCCTGCTGGGGCTGCACCCCGTGTTCAGCGCCGAGCTGAGCCCCGTGCTGCGGGAGGAGGACGAGCTGCACGGAGACCTCATCCAGCAGGATTTCCTCGACACCTACAACAACCTGACGCTGAAAACGCTGATGGGGCTGGAGTGGGTGAGCCGCTTCTGCCCCAACGCCACCTACGTGGTGAAGGCCGACCACGACGTCTTCCTCAACCTGGAGTTTCTGTCGCGGCTGCTGCGGCCGGTCAAGATGGATTTCATGACGGGTTACGTGTACCGGAACACCGGGCCGCTGCGGAACCGAGCCTACAAGTGGTTCGTGCCGCCGGAGGTGTACCCCAACAACACGTACCCCCCGTACTGCGGCGGGCCCGCCTACGTGCTCTCGGGGGACCTGGCGCTGCGCGTGTTCTCCGTGGCGCAGGTGCTGCCCGTGATCAACATGGAGGACGCGTTCGTGGGCATTTGCCTGCACGCCCTGGGCGTTCCCGTCACCAACCCTCCGCCCGGCACCTTCGCCATGTACCGGCTGGACTACGACAAGTGCCGCTTCTCCAGGCTCGTCATGGTGCACCACTACGGGCCCGAGGACCTGCTGCAGGTGTGGCCGCATTTCCGGAACGAGTCCATCAGGTGTGCTTAGGGCAGGGACACGCTGGGGTTTGTCCCCTTGTACTGACTGTCACCGGGATCTGCCGGTGCCACCGGGATCTTGATGTTACCGGGACCCCCTGACTGTGCCTGGGGGTGTCCCAGACTGTGCCTGGTCCCGGTTCTGGAGCAGCCGAACCTCAGGGTTCTCCCCCTGTGGACGTTCCCGTCCCTCTGAGCCATCGGATCTGGAGCTGCTGCTCCATCCGTTCGTTTCCCTGAGCTGTGGTTTGGTTTTTACGGATTGATCTGGGCCGGGATCTGCCAGGATCTGGGATTTGTCGCGTTAATTTATATTTAATGTTTGTAATAAAAAGGGCTGGAGCCTCGTCTGTGCTGATGGATCAGGGTCGGGAAAGGGCCCTGGCGCTGGAATGGAATCGCTCTGGGCACATTCCGGGGTGTTTGCCAGGCCGAGCCTCGTTCCAGGAACTGGTCCCGGTGTTTGCCAGGCCCAGCCCGGTTCCCAGCCCGGTTCCCAGCCCCATTCCAGGCCCAGCCCGGTTCCCAGCCCGGTTCCCAGCCCCATTCCAGGCCCAGCCCGGTTCCCAGCCCGGTTCCTGGTGTTTGTTTGCCAGGCCGTGCCCCATTCCCAGCCCCATTCCAGGCCCTGCCCCGTTCCTGGTGTTTGCCAGGATCCAGAACCACCG